GTTCACTAGAATAAAGAAAGGATGCCATCCTGCCATTTACCAAAATTGTCTCTTCCCTCTCTGCTAGTTCAGCAAGTACTTTCCTCCTATGCTTCACTGTAAAGGGCAAAGGAATTTAATCTTAATATGATGCTCACAGTAAAAAGCCTGACAAGAGACAGGATGTGAAAAATGTTCCAGAAGGGCTGAAAGTAAATGGTTTACTAATAATATGAATATGAATAATCTCAGCTCTTGGGAATGTCAGGCTCATGTTGTTCTTTTACATGCTTAAATTAAAAAAAAAAAAAAAACGACAGGCTTGGATTAGATTATTTTAAAGCTTAGTTTTAGTTTGAAAATTTCTAATATTAATGTATGACTATTAGGACCACTTTATTTCAGAGTTAAGGGTTTATCTTGGAATCCCAATTCCCAGTCCTATTCTCTAGTCCCTGTATCCCAGTGCCTGTTAATATATTCATTTAAAGCTTGAGAGAAAAACCCTAAGGATGCCTTTAACATTTATGCCTTTATAAGACATACCAGATGAAAGAAAAGTTACTAAATGGCACTGATATTATGGTTAATTGGAAGTTAAAACTTGATAAATATTCTTATATATTACACATATTTCCAGAACCATATGTGTAACCAGATGACCACAGATAATAATGAAACCTAGATTTGGGGAAATGTGAGTTTAAAACATCTGTTTTTAAATGGTTATAAACTTAAAATGCTATAACTTTTAAATCCAGTTTAAGTGGTTATAATTCCAGGGAGTGGCTATTTCTGATACCAGTAATCTTGGAAAGGCGTGAATCCTGGGGCAGGATATGCAAACTGTCCCTGGATTGGGCAAGAAGAACTCCCCCTTTCTCTGAGAACAAAGGCCAAGGAGGCCTGGGCTCTGAGATGTGAAAAGGCCTGGGGCATTTTCGTGGAGGAGAAGCGAAGTCCCAGGAACTCGGGTTCACAGACCATGTGAAGACACGGTGCCTGCTTGGTTAATGGTGGTGGTGGTGGTGACAACAGAGCCATCAACCACAGCATAGAGAAACGGGCAGTTCTGGAGCAAGAGGATCAAGGGTGGCATGGCAAGGCCATCAACACAATGAGCTTGAACTCGAGCACGAGGTAAGAAGAGCCATGTCTCCTCTCCAGGTGGGGAAGGGGCTCTGTCTAGCCTGGGGACGTCACAAGAGCTGCCAACCGAAAGGCAAAGGCGTAGAGCATGACGAGAAGCCTTGAGGTCTCTGATCTAATGGGCCCACAGGCAGCACACCAGGAAACCCTGGGAGAGAGTGGGGGAGAACTTAAAGAGGGCTTTACTTCTGGACGTCATTGCTCTGAACCTTAACGGTCTAGTAAAATAAACAAATATGGAGAAATACAACAAAAAGGCATAAAATTGATGATAAGATGCATTACAATATTCAAGTTTAAGTAGAATTTTAGATGCAAGTAGATTTAGCCATCTGGGGGCGGGGGAGGAACCAGGGAGGAAGGGCAGGCATGACCCAAAAGCAGAACAAAAACTAAATGTACAAGAGAGAAAAAAGAAAAGATAGGACAGCTGTACACCACCTGGTGCCCATAAGCTGTAGATGGAAATTAAGCATCTAGTTCTTCACTAAAGTTGGAAGACAGAAGCATATTTTGGTTTGTAAACCCTTGAAAGTAGGCATATTAGCCCTTGGGTTGTAGCAAAGAAAGGGCTTGTAGAGGCAAACAAGGTATCCAAGGTATCCTAGGATCCCAAGTCACTCCCCCAGACTATAATCAAATGGAAACATGAGAAATTGAGGGCATGGGCCTCCCAGACATGAAAGTGGGCAGTTCTGGGAAGTCACCCATGAGGTGGCAGCTCACCCAATGGATGAAGACATGGGAACATGGGGCAGTAACTGCCCTGGTTACTGGTCCATAGAGATAAATGAGTTTCTAATGCCTTTTCTCACCTTCTCCTTTCTCTTTCCATATCTTCAAGAACTGGCTCTTAAAATAGGGGACAGCAGTTCCATCCCTTAATGGCTCTGTGAATTGGTTGGGATCACAGCAATCGTGACGTCCACCACTCCACCCAAACCTCTCTCTGTTTTATATTTGCCAAGAAGGGGCAAACCCACCTGGAGTAAGAAAGAGTCATTGTCAACAAATAGCAAGTACAAATCCATTTTATTGGCTCAAGCCAATCAGTTACATAAGTAAAATGGAAATCGCTGTTTGGAAAGTGCCTTATAGATGAGCTAGTCTAACTCCATCATTTGACAGATGAGGACATTAAGACACAGAAGGACCTTGCCAGTGACTCACAAGTTAATGGCAAAGCTAGAACTAGAATCCAAGTCACTGCTTTCCTTGGGAGATTTGGAAAATATTCAGATAGACTGTAAGGGATTCGGATGCATGCAGGTATGTAACAGTTGGAGGAACTAGAGATTTTTAACCTGGGAAGGGGATGATTCAGAGACATCTTAACTACTGTCAAATAGCTAAAGGACCAGCAATAGATAAGGGCTTGAACTTGTTCTGTTGGCCAGAGGAAAGGAAGATCATTGGAGGGAAGACTTTAGTGTTTTGGTGGTTTAGGTTTTAAACAGTCAAACTTTGCCAAAACAATTTGTTGGGGGACAGTAAATTTTCTGTCACCTGAAGCATTTCAGAATAGACTGGGAGGTAATGTAGTGTATATGTTTTGTCTGTGGAAAGGGGTGGGGCAAAGGGTGTGGAGGAAAGAATTCAGGCATGAAAATCATTTGGATGGGGTGACCTTTAAGAGCATGTGATTCTTTACAACCTGGTACCAAATAAGGGTTTCATTCTTGCCTTTGAACTCTAAAACCTATCTTCCCATCTGTTTGCAATAGTTTAAATTTTAATCTATTTCATATTTCAGGGTATTATGCCCTGAATATTTGATTTGAATGCTGTGGCAGAAGGTCACTCATACTCATTTATTTTCTTTTACTCTTAAACACTTGCAGTGAGTCTTTTGAATCCATTATGCAAATGCATGCAAATCATACGCAAATAGTGTGGCCTCTGAAAATGACAAAATCCTATGGCCTTAACTGAGCCATCAAACCTTTCTTTAAAAAGAAAAGCAATAAAACCTTTGCAACGTCTCTGGGGCAGGAGACAATTTCCTGATAGTGATATTTACATGGCATTGGAATTGGTTAATCAGAGGAGTAACACATTCTTTATATTTACATAGGACTTAAAGGTTAAGAAAGCATTTTCACATGTATGGTCCTGTTTGATCCTCATAATTACCCTGTGAGGTCAGCAGAACAGGAATTGGAATTCCTGTTCTATTTTTCAGATGGGAAATAGACTCAAAGTGACATGACTTGCCCAAGTTCATTTGGTTGGTAATCAGTGGACTTGAGGCCGAGAACTACACTCCTTCAAGACCAGAGCTCTTGCTTTAAAGACATGCCTTTAAAGCAAGGTGGGCTGTCATCAAGTTTGCTTGCACCGTGTTTTACCAAAAGCATCTTTGGAGGTGCTCCCGTCATGAGGATGGCATTGGAGGGGTGAGACTAGAAAAGCCTAAATATTTGTAGCAGCCCTAGCACAATGCCTAGGCCATAGTTTCTCCAGCCCCCTCTGCCTTGCAGCGTGCTCTGACATCTCCAGGTGACGAACTGTCTTCACCCCATCCATTCTTCACTCTTTTAGGAAGCAAAACTCTTCTTAAATTATGGAGGGTAATACAGTCTCCACCGTGAGACCGTGGATCTGAAGCCATCGTCTACCATTTCCTAGTTGTGTGGCCTTGGAGAGGTCATTTAATTTCTTTAAGCATCAGTTTTTACATCTATAAAGAGGAGGTAACAGCACCTCTATGGTAGAACATGCGATAAGGATATAAACACTAACAAAAAACACCCTGCCTGGTGTCTGACATGTAACAGGTGCTCAATAAATAGTAGCTCCTATAATTCTTGATTAGCAGTCATAATACAGTAGTGGGAGCAGCATCTCGAGTCATTCTGAACTCTGCTGCAAAGAACCAGGCTCTGGGAAATGGAATGGGAGAACCAGAATGCCCAGCAGCCCCTCTATGCCAGGAGGCTGGAAAACAATGGCTGAGGTAGCTAAATTCAGCCCAGGGAGGAATGCCTGAACTCTGCCTTTCTTTAATCACTACCCCATCTTGCTCCATGATGAGGGTAATTGCCATCCTGCTTGAAGCTATTTCTGAGAAGAAACAGAGCCAAGGCCGACATCCTTCGCCCGGCACTCCTCGGCGGACTTCCTCGTATACAGCAGTGTCCCCTACCTCCCTGGGTTGGAAGAGAATAAACGGGGGATTCCATTCCACCTCAGCTGCTTTCTTTGGCCTGCATCACTGGGTCAAAGGATGTGTTGTCCCCCCATACCAAGAGCAGAGGCAGGAGGAACCAGGCAGCCTGGGCAGCCGTGGAGGGGCCTGTTCCCTCCTACTCCAGTTCGCACCTCCAGCAGGCCCCGCCACAGAACCTGATGGGCCTTCCGTCTGCCCCCACGGCATGCCGCGGCACCTCTCCCCATCGCTCACCTACAACTAGCGAAGTGGCTTCCTTTGTGAGGACAGCTTCCTGCCTCTACAGCCTCTCTGGGGGGAAAGGGACCAGAAGCTGTTGGGAGTTAGCCACACCCGTGAAGCTGGCCTAAGTCAGTAAGTCTGGGTGACCCACCCCAGAGGGGTGCTCAACTGATACATGCTTGCCAGGAAATGCACTGGGCCATTCTGGGGCTGGGTTCTCAGCTATTTTTGGCAAGGATTGGTGGTATGCAAAAGCAACTTCCCCCTTTTTTTTTTTTTTGGCACAGACCTAGCAAAAACTGAGCAATCAACATTTCTTGTTCCCATGTCACCCTTCTGAGCACCTCTCTGCCTGCCGAATTACTGAGGCCATTGCAGTTGGATTCCATTTCTGCACTCCAGGCACGGGATCAGCCCACCAAGCTGGGGTGGCCTCATTCCAGTGATGGCTCCTGGTACCAGCTGCTTCCTATTGGCGGTGATGCTTTCTGCAGGTTGTAAAGCCATCACCTCCTCGGAGCGGATGTGCACTGAGGTGAGTCTGAACTATTTGTCCTTACCCAGGTTAAACTGCCTGGAGATTTTGAGATTCAGCATGCAGTCCTATCTGAGCCTTGGCCTCCCAATATCCACTGTCTTTACAAGGGTGACATGGTGTGTAGCAGTTTTTCTTTAGAGTGAATAAGGAGCCCAGGGGATGGGCTCAGCCAGGGGATGATCTGGGAGATTCTTCACTGGAAGAAGTGAGTGTTTTCCTCTTCTGCAAACAATTCCCTAAAAAAAAAATCCTGATTGGGGGTGCCTGGATGGCTCAGTCGTTAAGCGTCTGCCTTCAGCTCGGGTCATGATCCCAGGGTCCTGGGATCAAGCCCCACATAGGGCTCCCAGCTCAGCGGGGAGCCTGCTTCTTCCTCTCCCACTCCCCCTGCTTGTGTTCCCTCTCTCGCTGTGTCTCTCTCTGTCAAATAAATAAAATCTTAAAAAAAAAAATGATCCTAATTGGGACATAAGATACCAGCAGGGTCTCAGGGCAAAGGACAGCCCTGCAAACGTGCTTTCAGCATGGAGGTGCTCTTTGCCCAACATCCTAGCATAAGGCCACTACCCCACACAGTTTTCTGGTTTCCTGGAGATTAATGAAGATGGCCTGTGCCAGGTTTTAGAGCATAGAAAGATGACTCTGACTGAGTCTGCCTTTCTCCTTGCATTGGACAGTCCTCCATCTGTTTTATTAACCGACAGGAGTAACACTGGAGAATAGGGCCAGATCGCATCTTCTGTTTTGGCCCATAACAATATTTACCAACTTGTGGGAAGTTCTTGGAGAGGATGGTGAGAGAAAGGAGAAGGGCCTCAGTCTCTTGTAAACGTCTAAAATGTTCCAATGTTCCTCCCACTGAGAAACTTTTCACAATTCTGGAGTCTAGAAGTCTAAGATCAAGGTGTCGGCAGGGTTAGTTTCTTCTGAGACCTCTCTTATGGGCTTGTTCTCCCTGTGTCTCCACATCATCTTCCCTTTGACGTGTCTGTGTCCCGGTGTATTCTTCTCCTAAGGACACCAGTCATACTGTATTAGGGCCTATCCTAATGATTTCATTTTAACTAGATTACCTCTTTCAAGACCCTCTTTCCAAATAAAGTCACATTCTGGGGTACTCAGGTTAAGACATATGAATTTGGGGGCAACACAAATCAGCAAACAAAAGAAGGGGTCAAGGAAGAGGTTTTTATCAACCCCAGAAGGCTACCTCCTCCTCATTCAGGTTGGAAGGTCAATTACACACAGACATGCAGGGGACATGATAAGAGGCTCGGAGTGGGGACACCACCTCCTCAGTGATCAGGGAGGTATGCCATTCACTATCTGACAACATCCTCAGGTAGGATAGTACCACAATTAAATTCCAGCTCACTGGGAAGCAAGCTCTTTTAAATGCCCCCCTCTTAAGCCTACCAGTCCAACTCTTAAATCCCTGCATTGCTACAAAGCCCATGCAGCCCTCCAGAGGCGGGAGTCCTGGGAGATTCTGGAAAGCCCGTGGAAATACTAGACCATCTCACTTCCTATTGAGGACACTAGGTTCCAGAGTTGCCAATTCCTTTTTGCAGGTGGCCAGGCTTTGGCAGGGGAGAGGGGAAAGCAGCAGGGTGAGCACCCTAGGCCTTGTGCTGCCTATTCCACAAACCCCCTGACACTCAGGTGGCAGAAGTGATGCTGAGGGTCCCAGGATCTCCGGGCCTGGCCCTATGCTGCAGCAAGAGCTTTCTCTTTTGGGAAAGTCAGGCGAGGCTGAAACCTCTCAATACAACAACCTCCTTGCAACTCTCCCTCTGAAAGGACCGATTTTCAATGTTTTGGAACCAATGCAATTAACACTGGATCTATACTTTCGTTTACATCCTTTATCGTGTATGAGTTCTTGGTAACAGGGTTCGCAGGCTGTTTCCTGAGCGGTCACTCTCTGTGACTCCTGGGACATTGCTAGGGGATACAAAGATGAATGAGAGTTTGGTCCCAAGGTAAGAAGGGCTGCTGGGAAGTGCAATAAAAGTGGGAAGGATAGGAGAGGAAGCTTTGGGTTGAAGGGTTTGGCCTTTTTTCAAGTGCAGATCACCCCAATTTGCCCAGCCCTCCCCCTCACCTTACTTTCCTCTTTTGTTCTCCCCTCCAGGTTAAGCAGATTTAACCACACACTGTCTATGTGCTCCTGTGGGCCCCATTAGCTCACCAGGCCCTATCCTGAAAACAAGGCTTTTGTTTTGCTTTGTCTGGAGTTTAATAAACCTTTTACTGAAGTAAAACATACATACAGAAGGTTCCCCAATCCTAAGTGCACAGTTCAGTGAGTTTTCACCCAAGGGAACACACGCATGTGACCGGCACTCAGATCCAGAAACAGCACATTCTCCGAAGGCCCTTCATGCCTCTTTGCCGTCACTAGCCCCCGGGGGCATCCAGTACTCTAACTCCCATGACCAAAGAATGGTTTTGCCTCTTTGTGAATTTTATATACAGGAGACCACATGGCATGTACTCTTCTGTGTCTGGCTTCTTTTGTTCAGCATTAAATATATGACATTTACCAAAGAGGCTGCGTAGAGCAATCATTTGTTTATTTTATCACGTATTGTATATTTTTTGTGTATTGTGGTAGTCTCTTGTATTAGTGAACCACTATTTATTTATTCATTCTACTGTTAATGGCCATTTGCCTTGTTTTCGATCTCTTGGCTATTATAGATGCTGCTGCTTTGGACATTCATATCTATGTCTCTAGAAAAGAGATGTGCAAACCTTGATTAGGTGGCGATATATTTGGTCATAGGGTATACATGTATTTAATTTCAGTAGATATTGCCAAATGGTTTTCCAAAGGGTTGGTACCCATTTATACTCATTGGCAATGTATATGAGTTCTGATTTCTCTGTATCCTCACTAATAGCCTTACTATTGTTTAAGAATGTTAACCATGCTGATGGATGAGTAGTGGTATTTACTGGGATTTAATTTTTATTTTCCTGATGATTAAAGTGAGTACATTTTCAACTTCATTGGCCATTTGCCTATCCTTATGTGTGTGTGTGTGAGAGAGAGAGAGAAAGAAAGAGAGAGAGGGAAGTGCTTCTTCTTTTGCCCATTTTCCCTTGGGTTATCAGTCTTTTAAAAACTGATTTGTAAGAGTTCTTTACATATTGTGGACACAAGTCCTCCGTCAGATTGCAAATATCCTCTCCCATTCCATGGCTTGCCTTTCCACTCTCCTAATGATACCTTCTGATGAACAGAAGTTCTTAATTTTAATGTAGATTAATTTGTTATTGTTCCTTTATTTTCAGTGAATTTCTGTCCTGTTTAAGAAATTTTTGCCTACCCCAAGGCCATAAAGATATATCCTATGTTTTCTGAAGGTATACTTTGTATTTATTTCTATTGCTAGGTTTCATATTTACATCTACAACCCACCTCGATTGTTTGTTTGTTTTGTATATGATGTGAGGTGGGAGTCAAGATGAATTTTTTAGTAAACTTTTTATTTGAAAAATATTTCAAACCCAGACAAGTTCTAAAAATGTAATGAACATCCATAAACACTCCATGTGGACTCTTCCATTGTTATATTCTACATGTTCTGTGTGTGTGTGTGTGTGTGTGTGTATCATAAGTAACAAAATTAGAGCCATGACCAGGTATTTGGAGGCTGACAAATGTGCAAAGTATAACTGGAATAAGTGTTCTGTGATTTGAATTCTAGTAGCACTTTAGATGCACTCTTGAGTAATTACTTTGGGGTGTAGACACAACACTTCATTTCAAATGGGCTCATCTTGGCTATCCTGTCCCCTCAAAACTATGGTAGGAGGCAGTCCTTCAGTCCTGGGGAGGGGTGGGGAGTGCTTAGTAGAACTTCTTGTTAGGAGAACTCCAAGTTCACAAGTTCACAGATACAAAGGCTTCTGCAGAGTTGTCAACAATGACATGATGTTGTGATGATTCGGAGAAAGATGATTCTCATCTCGTGACTACTCAACATACATTGTCTCATTAATCCTCAGAGCTGGCCCGCAAACAAGGTTATCCCCCATCTATAGTTGGGGAAAAAGAAGGCTCAGAGCACACAGTTTAGTGGTTGAGAGCTGGGATTTGCCCCTGAGCAGTGTGACTCAAGACAAACAGAAAATGAACTGCATATAATTGGGATGCCCTTTGCCTGAAGGTGTCAGTTTTAAGACTGGGCCCTCCTGGGAATATCTTATGTCGAGGGAGCAATTATTACTCTGGGATTTGACGCAGTCACACTGCTGTCTCTGGATAGAGGAGTGAAAAATGGAAGGAGGGTCAATGTTTGTCATCCCAAACTCCTCGTGCAGGGGGTGTAGCTAGCCGCTGTGGGTGCCAAATGCAGACGAGATATTCATTGGAGAGGTCGGAATCGGCACGCAGTGAAACTCAAAGGGTTCAAAATTAGAAAATGATTTCAACACTTTCAAGAAAAGAAAATGCAGTGGGATAGCAGGAAGTTAGAGATACAGTGGAAGGCAGCAAAACAAGATCTTGATTGAAAAAATGCAAATGTATACCTGGGAGGGAAAGGGATCGCAAACACAGCGGTTGCACTTGGAAGCCCTGCTCTGCCGAAAAGGCACAGCTCTGACAGGACACTAGGGACAGTGGTTGGTGCAGGTCCCAGTGCACACGGGGTCCTAAGTAAATGCCCCCTGACTGGGAAGGGTGGGGGGAAGCCTGGGACGGCTTCTGTGAATGCCCCACAGCCTTGCACAGCCCTGTAGGGCTGCATGAGTTCACAGCAACAAGGGACCCATCTGCCATGGAACCAGCCAGGCTAGGAGAGAGAAGGTCATTTCAGACAGTGACCTGGCACTGAGGGCTAGAGAAGGAGAGCTGGTTTCATAGGAAGTGCTCATGTGGAACTCAGAGGAACCATAGGGGCTGCACAAACAGTGGTGGGTGTCTGCCTGGAGAAGCAATGAGCACGTGTCCCTGGCAGACAGCCCCGCCCTGGGCAAAAGGGCAA